GCACCAGTTTCTCGATTTGGCTGATTGGCACCATGCGAATCACTCCTTTCAGCTCCAAGGCGAAGTTGTTCTGCAGAGCTAAGGATCCATTCTGGCTAAAAGGCCTGATCGGAGCCAAAAGAGCTGGTGTGGCAGTCGTAAAGGCCACCAGGCAACTAAAGGCCAGGAAAGTGGTACAACCAATAAACCGCATCCTGATCTGTGTGTTCACTTCTAGAACTAGTTAGCTTTGCCAATCCACTCGCCGCTTTTATAGCCAAATGAGAAGACTGTTATCTGACCGTTTTGTTTGTGGCTTAGCTTCCACAGTGGACACTCTTATCGGAGACAGTTTGCTTTACAATATCTGGTGAGAGATCTGTGTACCGGCAAGTGCCAAGATAAAGGGAGTCTATTTACGACACTTAGTCATTTCTTAAACGGTAGAGAGTTGGATTTGCTAGTCACTTATTCCGGCACGTCTACAATTTAATCCGAAAATTCAGTGAAAGGGTTCTGGAAAACGGATGATAAAAGGGAAAATGGTTAGCAAAACAAAAAAACAAAGATTTGTTATACCTCTAAACATTTAGCTAATTATTTTGTAAGGTTCTTTTTTTGAAAGTTTATATTGCAATATTTAATATCATGAGAAAACAAATCAATCTGTTATGACAAATTTCTAAAAATAAATTAAACTTATCTTATATGCATTTTTATAATTCCGCAAATACTTAAGCAAAGACAAATAAGATAAACGAAAAAAATAAATTTAATTCATTCATCCGGAAGTCACAAAAAAGCAATCTAAATAGAACAATATACTTTGCATGTAAAAAACAGCTTTTATTTGATTAAAGCAAAGATTTAAATACGACAGTGATTCTCGACCACGTACTTGAGATAACGTAGGCAAAACAATCAAACAAGTTATTCTAACTATTCAAGGCAAACACAGTTTCACAGTCAATAAATTGCGTTGGACTCAGCTAGAAAAATTCGGTGAAATTCGGGAAAGTGACAGTCGAGATAGGAAAATGTCCAGACTTTACAATTTTCTTAATAAAAAGTTCAAGAGATGTCACCTTCATCAGTAAAATAAAAAGCTTAAGAGGTCTTATGCTTAAATGAATCGGAATAGCAAGATTTACACTTATTAAAAAAATATTAAAGAAATATTGTTAAAGTCAAGACTAATTTCCATGTAATTTCCATTTTTTTGTAATCTCATTTGAATAAATGAATTGAATAGATGAAAGCGAGATTATAATTTCCATTTGATATCTCCATCACAACATTTGAAGGACTCCCTTTGGTCAAGTGCACTCCTTTGGATTCTGGGAGAAAATTGGACACAGTGGGCATGTAAATCGACAGATGTGAGTGGATAATTAGTTAGTTAGTAACCTTCACTGCCCGATCGCGTATCCGGTTCAGCCGACATTAGTTCCACTCGAGGGGAGTCCTATAGGAATGTTACATGCACACGCAGACGCGATGGTAATTAGGATTGGCCAGGACACGCCTTCTATTCTGTGCCCGAAAACAAAGGACGAAATTCCAATTGAGCAGGAAACTGACAGATTTGCTGTATAATTTCGAAATTATAAAACTTTCGAGAGAGTCTGTAGAACTGAAGAATTCAGAGAGATGCAGGGCAAAGCCACCCCCAAAAAAAAAAAGGAATATAGAAACAAAAACTGGGAGGATAGGGAGATTTAGGGTGATTTTGGTTAGGGGGTTGGTTTTAGTTCGCCCGAGCATAAGTATTTTTGTTGGCCAGGGGCGATCGCATGTTTGGTTATCGGAATTGTAAGGGGAGTTGGGTTGGCAGCTGCAAAAAAAAATATATATGTGTATCTACTATAAAACGTACCCCCTTGCAGTGCTTGATAAATCATGTGTAAAGGTATTTGTACAAACTTTTTCGGGTTTTTGTTCTATATATGTTGTATAGTACGTTCGATTAGCGGCAGCTGCAGATGGAAATCATGATGCTGGCAGCGGAAAGTCGGAAAAACCAGTGTTGCCATGGTAAGTGTGTGTTAAAAAACAAACGAAGAAAATATTTCGTTTTTAATTGATTTGGCAGGCTTCAATTTAACGCTTCGCTGCCACTTCCTCTTTTGCATGCAAGTCCTGCACGTGTCCTTTTTAAGTTTTCTTTTCTATAAATTATAATATTTTTGTATACTATATGTGTGAGTAAAATGCAAGAACAGGCACTTCCGCCTTATGACATGCCAATGAGTCAGAGTTGAGGTCCTTTTTAGCTACAGGTATGTCTTGGGGTTATTCATTTTCTTCATAACTACCCCTCCCCTTCTTCTTGGCACGCGTCAAAAACCGAAGGGCGAGAAGTCATTTTTTAGGGGTTGCTCGATGGGTTTTTTTTTCTTATAAGAAGCATTCCTTAGCCGGAAGAAGCAAAGCAACACGTTCAAGACATTGTTGAGTCACCACTGAAGTTATTATTACCCCCGTAGACCTCCTTCACATCCACACTTTACCCCTGTGTGTGCCGGCATTTATTTCCATTCAAGGAATCCGGGCAACCGTCGGGATCATCGTTCTTATCGGAGGCGCCTTCCTTGAGGTTTTGTCCTTTTAGGGTCCTTTCATTCAGTTACTCATTCACTCATTCATTCATTCCCTCGTCACCTAATTGAGAGGAGGACAAACCAGAACGAGCCCATAAAGGGGCAATTCCTTTTGCCGGGTAAGTGCCAATTGTAGGTTTCACTTTAGGCTACAAATTGAAACGCCTCCTGCCAGGACTTCTTACCCTCGTTCTTCGTCCTTCGTCCTTTGTTTACCTTTTTCTCGGTCTGCCATCCCCTTCCTCAAGGGGAAGCCATTAAATTGATTATAAGACATTGTTGAAATGTGTAAACTGCTCCGTCTCAGACATTCGGTCGCCGAGGGAAGTCCCCTTTTTTTTGTCTCCGCTTCTCTGTCTGTGTTTGCTCGCCTGCTCAGTTTCTCACTTTCTCAGCTTCTCCCCATAAGTGTGTGGGTTTTCTTGAGGGCGTGGCATAGTTGAGTGAAGTCGAAGCTGAGGAATTCAACTAATTAGAGGGGAAGAACGATGGTTGCTTACAAAAGAAGAAAAAAATATAGGTGTTGATGGACCATTTGGGTTGGTAATGGGCTCACCTCAAGGGGTTAATGAAGGTAACGGAGTCATTGCTGTTTTATTGAGCCAAAAAGGTGTGTCTGAGCCGGTTTCCAAGGAGTTCCCCGGAGAAGCCAGGCGAAACCACAGCTTATAATGCATTGCTCATGGGGTTAACGCACGGAAATGAATCAAGGTGTCAACGAAGATCGCCGAAAGGGATTTTTGGGATAACAGTAAAGGGTTAAGAAATAAATAAAGGAACAAACATGTTTTTGTTGTAAAAAGAGGCGTGTTAACAACAATTTTTATAGCTAGATTGGTTTTTGATGACTCCATTGACATATAAGAATAAATAAATATATTACATGTTACTTAAAAGTGTATTAAATAAATACGTTTTACCATTATATTTATTAAGATTTGAGATGGGAATAAAATAGTTTCTATTGTTTAAAAATGTGTTAAAAATTCTTCTAAAATGAAAGGTTTTTTAAAGTCCCTTTGTATTTATTTCAGATTGTGAAATGGGACTAAAATAAATAAATGAATTAAAAATATTTAAACTTACTTCAAAGAACACAACAAGTTGTATAAAAAACAAACACTGTCAATCTTAAAAACAAATAGTTTATCCTGAGTTTTATTCATTTCAAGATTTTAAGGATTTCTAGACCAAAACAGCTTCAATATATTTATATATTAAAGGGAAATTGGCAGAAATAACTTTGTGATACAACTTGAATAGTAAATAATCACTTAGAAATAAGAGGATACAATATTTTACGAAATACTAAATTTTAAAGTGAACAAATGGAAAATATTTTTAAGAGAAAGGGTAACTGTATAAATGTTCCTTAGCAAAAGAGGTTGACTGACAGCTTGCAACTAAGGCAAACCACCACACATTTATATTTACAAAGTTAAATAGTCGAACAAATATAAAATCAAATGCAAATTTTATAAAAAGGTCCGCTGACTTTCCCCGCCCCACTGCATCCTGTTCCTGTTTGGCTGGAAAAGTCAGCAGCTGGCACCGCCGAGCCCTTATCGCAATCACTGATAGCAGTTACAAGGCAGAAATCTGTCGGGAGCCTGTTTACGGCCCGATAACCAGGACACGTGTGTCGCTGCATTAGCATACTTTGCACACACAAAGGGATAGGATATAGAAAAAGGTATTGGAATAGGGAGCTCAATGTGACGAAAGCTCCCTCCACACACACACACAAAAAAAAAACGCAAACTATTAGGGGAAAGAAAGCAAACAGCGCAGGCGCAACTGGGGTTCAACATTCAGATACCGAAACTGGGTTGGGCACGTTCCAAAAGGGCCAACCCTGGCTTAGATAGCTACACACAAACAGGCATATCGAAGTAGCAGCTGCCTTTGCCAAAAACGAGTTTATCCTTATCCAACGAATTCAGGACTCTGTGAGCTCGCGTGCCGTCAGTTCAGTCCGGTTACCTCCCCCTTCGAGCTCATTTCATTGCTCATAAATAACAATGCAATGATCCCCAGGTATTTTTCACGTGCTTGGCACGTTTCACTCGATTTTCCGGTTCTCGATTCCCTCAATTCTCTGCACTAATCCGCCAGGAAAAGAAGGTCGCTGGCTGAGGCACGCGTCCTTTTTGATAAATTGTGCTTTAAAGCGCAGGGGCTTGGGTTTCTGTTTCAGTTTCTGTTGCTGCTTCTCTTTCTGGAGCAAACGTCTTGACAAATGGCCAAAACAGCTCCAGAGGACAGCCCACGACGAGGAAGACGAACCATTGTCTGCCTTATTGCTCGAATAAATCTTCATCTTCATCTTCATCGTCTGCCATCGTCTGCCAGCTTCTGGTTTATTTATCAAGGTGGAGCAATTACATTAAGTCAGCCATGGTTATCGGACACGACCTGGGACCAATATCGCAGCTGGGCATGCATCTCCCGGAAGTTCAGACGCGGCGGCAGCTCCACTGCCCCCATTGGGTGGCCAAAAACACTGAGGCGATGCAGGAAGAACTCCCAGAGGTCAAAGGGATACTCCCTGGCCGGGTGAAAGCTGATCAGGGAACTGGAGCAGCAGGCGTGGGGCTGAAATACAAGAAATAATTTAACAATCAATTCTTTTAACATAACGCATCATACACATATAAATAAATTATGTTATTATCAATTTTTAAAGCTCTTCTGAAAATTGTTTGTACTTCTGCTTGGAAAATTACCTTATAAATTGTTTAAAGTTATTAATTATCTTTATCGGAAATAGTTCTCGCTAAGGTTATTATTTAAATATATTTAACACATAATGACGAGGTTATTAATAATAATTAATGAATTCTAAAATAACTGATATTTTTGACGAGCGATTAAAAATAGACAAGTACATATTTTCAATTAAAAACAATACGATTCAAAAATAATATTCATTTAATTGTGCTAATGGTTAAAATCTTGATGCTTGGTAACGTGTTGATTGGCAGGATCATCTTTGACATCTTAAGTTATCCTTTGTGGTCGGCGACTTGGTGGGCCCAATATTGCAGACGCTCGTTCATCTGCCTGAAGCCCAAACGCGAAGGAAGTGCCCTTTGTGTCCTATGCAGTCCGAAGACCCTCAGGTAGTACAAAAAGAATTCGAAAAACTCAAACTCGATGTCTTTGACATAATGAAAGGTTATAGCCGATGCAGAGCAGCAATCGCTTCTCTAAAAATAACAATTGATAAATTACAAAGCTGGTAAATATTTAAAATCATAGATACGTACATTTGGCTGATGGAAGAAGTAGCTATCCATCCAGGAGCCATATGGGATGAAGGGAATTAAAGTCCACAGACTGACGGGCAGGAAGCGGTGATGTCCTTGAAAGTCCCGCGTATCTCCAGCCACTACACCCACGTCCTGCAGGCAATGTCCAATCTGAACGTCCTCGGAATCGCCGTTCAGTTTGCAGGTGGTGGTGCTGTTCAGGGCGAATAAGTTCAGACGACGCAGGGCGTCCCTACTTAGCACATATCCTCCGCCACCGGACATGTAGCCCTGGGAATAAGACGATTTGAAGCGACAGCCAAAGTAAACAGACGATTCGGGATCATAGGGGTAGAGGAACAGACGCAAGTTCTCCATTACAACATAACTGAAAAGGTGAATTATTATTATATCATACTAAGATACCCAATTACATCATGGTATATTATTTAAGTATCGTACTTCAATAGCAAATTAAATCATATCACTATGTTATTTATATATATTACTTAAATACCAAATTACATCTAGCATTATTATTTAAATATCATACTCAAGTATCAAATTACATAATAGTATTTTATTTAAATATTATACTTAAACACCAAATTACAGCATAATATATTATTTAAACATCACACTTAAATACAAAATAGCATCATAGTAAATTATATTAATATCATACCTTAACATCATAGTATATAACATAAATATCATAATATATTATATAAATATCCTACCTTATTATATAAATATCATACTTAAATGCGATTTATATCACTTACGTGTCATCATCGGCCTTCAGAAACCAGTCGTACTCATTCAAGTGATGCTTGTGGACATACCCCATCCCAGTGCGTACTTTGGCATACAGATTATTCCGAGATTCGGATATGTTAATCTTGAGAATATTCAGATGGGGATCCGTTTTGGTGCTCATGAAGATGAGTTTGTTGCAGCGTGCTCCCCACGTGCGATTGACACGAGCTGCCTTCGTGCTGTGCGAAGATGGCATGGTGAGCACCAGACACAGGATTCGCACCTCCCGCCTCAGCCAGATGGCCAGGTGCTCCTCCGTGGCCACCGGATACTGCAGCAGCGCCGCCTTTTCACTCGCCCCTAAGTCGTTATTCCTCCACAGCTTCAGGTAGCCTACAAAATCCGTGAGTCGCACGCCTATAATTATGCCTAATACTAAAAACAAGGTGTTCCGCACCATTACCAGAATCATTATATACTGTGTTGATAGCATTTTGCAGCTGGAGAGAGATCCCACGCTGTGACTAACTGGCGCAGCAAATTCATTTTTATTTTCAATTAGAGAGGTCATAGTGTCTTAAATTTCATTCGGCATTTTTATTTATTCAGTCTTACGAGGACTTTTCTTAGAGCAGTTCATTATTCATCAAAGTTACTATAATATTGTGTCGAAAACATACATAAATTCTAAAAAATGTTTAAGACTTGAAAAAACAAAAATAAGAATGAGATCTAGATATTTCAAACATATACAAAAAGAAAAGAATATTAATCCCTAAGGAACTAAAAAAACATATTTTCAAATGAATAAGTAAGCAACAAAACATTAACAAAAACGTTAGGTATTAATTAATTCGATACTTTATTTACAATCTACACTTAAAAAGTCAGTAGTTTCTAAAATTCGAACACTATTTCTATTTGACTATGGTTATGTCTAGTATGAGTCATAAATATCCCCTACGCATAAACTATATAATATTATTCCTGCCCTAACCAAGCGTATGGATTGGTGCTATTCTCCTGTGACCAGTAATTCATCTGGTTCTGCAGTTGTTTGTCATCCAATCTGGGTGGCAGCGTTCTCTGCGATAAAGGAGTTCCGAATACCCTCAGTCGATACAGCAGAAACTCATACATTTCGAACTCGTGGTTCTTGACGTAGTGAAAGCTTATTCCCGAGCTAGAGCCAGTTTCGTTAACCTAATAACATTTAAATAATTTAGTATTGATAAAATTAGTTATTTTCTTGTACTTACTGGTTCATAAAAGGTTAGTTTGTGTAACCAATTGTCGGTGGGGAAGCTGGGCAGCATATTTTTGAGAGACATGGGCAGAAATCGGTCCCGACCTTCCTCATCTCGGGAATCGCCAGCCACCACGCCCACATTCTGCAGGCAGAAGCCTATCTGTCTGTCCTCTGACATGTTGTTAAGCGGACAGAAGCGGGTATTGTTGAAGGCAAAGAGATTGAGTCGACGCAGTGCATCACGACTGATCACGTAGCCAGCTCCTCCGGACATATATCCCTGCGGAAAAGTAGTGCGGAATCGGTGGCCAAAGTAGAGCGCTGCCTCTGGATCGTAGGGGTAAAGCAGGAGCCGCAGGTTTTCCATTATCACAAAGCTGTAATCAAGTAATATTTAATAAGTAAAATTTTAAATATATATTGTATAAATACCAAAATACTACATTGGTAAAAAAAAACATTCAGTTATTTAAAATAGTAATTTTTTAGTAGGTCATTTAAATCTGAATATTTAATTTAAGCCTTATTAATTTCTTAAAATTTTAACATTATATCCAAATAGGTCACATTCTTTTCTAGGTATAATTTATAAGATATTTTATGTTTTAATATAAAATCATGTAATTTTATATTAATATAATATATAGCATAAATATGTTTAATATATATATTGAATATATTGTTACATACTGAGTTTGCATATTATTATAAAACAATGTTATCTTTTCTATTTTTACTATCAGTGTACTTACGTGTCATCGTCTGCCTTTAAGAACCAGTCGTACTCCTCGACGTAGTTTTTGTACACATACTCCAGGGCCTTCCTCATCTTGGGATACAGATTGTTTCGGTCCTCGGGAACACCCACATCGATGGCGCCCAGCTCCTGATCCTGCTGACTGCTGATGAAGATCAGCTTGTTGCAGCGCTTGCCCCACGTGCGCTTCACTTTTCTCACCCTGGTTTGGTGATTCTTCGGCATGGTCAGCACCATGCAGAGCACCCGAGTCTCGTTGTGGAGCCACTGGGCCAGCTGCTCCTCCGTCGGCAGTTGGGGCGTGGCCTCATCATCGATCTCGGTGATGGCCGTGCTGCCGAATTGCGTTTCGGTCAGTTGGAAGTACTCGAAGAAGTCCGTCAGCCGGATGCCGATGATCAGGCCAAGTGCCAGGCAGAGTATATTGCGATACATTCCGAGTGTATTCCAGACAGCGAATAACCAGCACCAGCTGGCATTTCGTTTGGCGCTTCTCCGGATGGGATATTATTTTGTGGGCACTCGGCGGAGAACGGGGATTGGAGTGGCAGTGGAGCTCTTACAAAACGAGCCGCGGGCACAGCGAATGCATTTCGCGGCGTCGCTCATCGCCGCCAGCTGATCAACGACTGTTCGATGGCTCCGTTCGCAAACAGCTAAAAAGAGTCTCCCCCAACAGAGAAAGAAATTGGTAATTAAAGTCACTGCAAAAAATTGTTCATTTTATATTAAGAATATAAATTATGTTAACTTTAAAAAGAATCTCAAAATAATTATTACTATTGATACATATATTTGTTTTAATATGTGTGTGTATGTGTAAATAGCACCTAAAACTAGGTGATTTTTATATTACCATTATTTTGTTTAAATGAAAAATATAAAATCTTTATTTATAGTTTTCATAAACTTACGAAAACAATATATATATTTTGTTCCTAAGCTGAAAAATAGAAAACTTTATGTATAACTTTTCACAAACTTTATAAACTATGTATTTTCTCTTTAATTTTCGCACTTTAAGGATTCCAAAAAATGTAATAAAGTTAACTTAAGTAACTATTTTAACATGCAAGATTTTTTCATAAAAAAAAATTCCCTACAAGAAAATTGTTGTTTAAATTTTAATAAGGCAAATAAGTTAAATCTCTGGAAATAATTTGCTATAACAAACTTTTTCACGGAAAATAAAAAAAACCGTCAATCTTTAAATCATCTTAACGCTATTAATCAATTATGTTCACTGCCAAAATATAATTTAATCTTTAGTTTCCTACAAAAGTTTTTACACATTGAAACCAAGCAAGTCATTAATCAGATTTATCTATAAAATCATATAACTATACACGGAACGTATTTCTTCAAGGAAATTGTATATGCAATAGTGTTAAAGACAAATTATAAATGAACCAAAAATATATATAGAAATATTATATTTACCATTGCATCCTGTAAGTTTTCTTTCAAGTGCACACACTCTCAGCCAGGCTGAAACGAGTTTTCGAATTTGGCTTGTGATTGGCATTTGTAATGAGTCACACGTGGTGCGTTCGTCTTCGCTCTTGAAGCGTTTGTCGCACTAAAGCCAAGATCTTTCAAATAGTCAACAATAGGAAATCAAAACAAGACTCACTTTGGTCCAAGGCAGATGCCATTCATCGACTGACTGACCAGCCGCCAAATGGTTTCCCTTTCCCTTTCCGGAGCCACGATCATCATCCAGAGCATCGGCAGCTATTTTTGGGGCCAACCGGTTTGGTTTGGAGCCTCCTCTTGACCCACTCTGTCATAAACTAGCGCCTCTCACCCACTGTGTAATCCCAGTTTAATCCACCAAACCGAACTGAACCGCTTTGCTTGTGGCAATGAAATCACTCAATTTATTTTTTTTATTGCTAGATAATGTTTCATTTCATTTCGTTTGTTTATGTTTATGTTTTAGCTTTCCATGGTACAATATTATCCGCTTGTTATATATTTACTTAGTACAACTGAATTCGTTTTAGATTGTAGATTTACTTTAGCATGGTTTCTTTAGACTAAATGTGGACTAATTATTTCGCTTCAGTTTGTTTGTGTTTTGTTTTGTTAATCATTTCGCATTGTTAAACATCTAGTGTCTTGTTATTCTCGTTTCTTTATTTTTTTTGTTGTTTTTGGGCCAGCGCTTTTTGCTTTCAACTCATCATGTCTGGCCGTAGAAAACTTGGTTACAAAACATTTAATATTAGTTTGTCTGCTGGCTAAACGTACTTAGAGCTGCTTTATTATTCCGATTTCTTCCCCGATTACACGCTATCTATTTCTCATTATACGTTTAGTAAGTGCACTTGCCAATTTCTGTTTATCGGAGGAGCCTCGCGCCAGAGGCCTTAAAATGAAGGTAAATGTGGCGAAATAAACAAAAATTGTCCGGCAAACTCAATTAACCAATCAATCGGGGCTAATGCAAATGATCCCTCTCCACACCTGACCATACGCAAAAAGTGTTAGTACTTAATTTTAGTTAGTTACACAGCCTTAGAAACTACTTAAAAATTAAAACATACATAAATTGGGGACAACAAAATGTTAAAAGAATATTACAAAAATTTATCAAAAGACATAAAGCAAAATCATGTGTTGGTTATACAAAAAAATGGACATAGGAACAGTGCGTTTCAAGACTATTAGGCAGTAAGTTTACAGAAAATAAAAGTTACATGGTTAAATATGAAATAAATTCAGTTTTCGATTTCGTTTTCCAAATAGCTTTAAAACACACTCTTCGGATTGGACTTAACAATTAGAGCTGGTTTAATTCGTAAATTAGTTTTAAAATAAGAATAAACCTTTTTTTTTTTTTGGAGTATCCCATAAATTATATAACAATTATGACAAAAAAAAAATTAATATGCATATAAGCAAAAATGTTACAATTTTACGTCTTTAGTTGTATTTTTAATCCTATATTTCTTTTTTTTTGTTTATGTTTGACATTCTAATTTCGCTTGCAAAAATATATGTAAATGGTAATTCAACTTTTTTCAATCTTTTTTTTTCATTCTTTGCTTTGCTTGGTTTTTGTATAAATTGGATTTATAAATTTATGTTTTGTATGTTTGTTTGTTTTCAGTTTAGTTTTTGTGTTTATGGTTTTAGCTTGGCTTTAGACTACATATATCAGTATTTTTATTATTGTTTTTAAATATTCCTTTGCTTCAACATTTCGTTACGTTTTGTGGTTGCATTATTGTTATTTTTATATTTTTTTTTACTTTTTTCGTATAGTTTTTAGGAACCTATTTGTAACTAGCAAAACGCAGACGCGTACACGATTCTATAAAAATGTTTTCCTATAATTTGGCTTACAATTAGTTCATATTTGTATAACATCAAAATATATATATATATGTAGATTTATATTTATGGTTTCGCTTTTGTGTCCTATTCATAATATACGTCATATATGTCAATGCATTTCTCTAGTATACGATTAGCTTAAGAATATTTTAAGATGTTTCGCTTGCCCCTTCAGCACTCAAGTCCTGGCACTTAAGTAGATTATGGGATTACAATCCATTTAAGAGCCAGCACTTTTCCTGTGGGAAAGCCACGCATATCCATGATCCATGGAGATCTCTAAAACTTTGAGACTCCAAGAAATCCAAGCATATAGCGGTCCAAAAGTATGCAATAAAATATTGTATAGAAAAACAATGTTCCATTACCTAGTTTTGACGCCCGAACTATTGATTTTTAAAGCCATTGAAAATTTTAGCAAGTCCCCAAACAGATTATTACTCTTAATAGATTAATTGAATATATTCCTTTCTCGTTTAGCCGCTGACTATACAAAGCTGTGACAATTAATTAGCTTTCTTATTCAAGTTCCTTTTTTTTTGTAGTAAATTTTTTAGATGTTTTAACATTGGCACGATATCTATAAATAATATATATGCGTTTATATAGCTTAAGAAAATATATATGGGTGTATACGTTTGTTAGATAGCTATCAACTAGTATGATTGATTAGTTTTAGTTCTGACCCGATTACAATTAATTATTTTTCCCTTTCAAATCTTTCGTTTCAATCCCAACAGAATTCTCTAACACGATGTACAAATACAAACTAAATGCTCTAGACCTATGAAAAGCAAGTTAAGAAGAACTCGAATATCATGAAGGCAAACAACGAATTCCCAAAAAAGTTTCACTAACTATGAATAACAATATGTATATGAATCTGCTTGTTAACTGGCTTAACTGATTGCGTGTAAAACTAAACAACATATAAAATAAATTACAAAATGACCGCGCTGTTAACTTACAATCTGCTTATAAACGTGTACGAAATAATGAAACGCACAGTTGTGGCCCACATAATAATAGCCTGAAGATTGCTGCTCATTACTTTAAATTTTTGTTTTGCAATTAGCCGATTATTAAAAACTTTTACACTTCTATATGAGCAAAAACTCGATGAAACAATCAAGACTTTAGTAAGGGAAGATTCTAGCTGATTTTGGTCTTCTAGACCATTTTCAAAGTAAATCAATTTGGCTCTTGGATTTCGTGATTTATCCAGCTATTACTCTGACCACACCACTGCCTACCTATTTACTTTTTGTGTCGAACATACCCTGGTTCTAAATGTAGATTTCTTTAAAGCATAATCAAAGCATTCGATATATTGTTGCTGGGTTGGTTTGTCTAAATGCATGCTGCATGCCGCGAAACTGATCAACTACAATATATGATTATTTGTGTATATTTACAGCTCTAAGCGTTTGTCATAATCGAACATATCGAAATAAAAATTCTTTCCTAACAACTATGATGCACTATAACGGCTGGGAGAGCTTTTTGTGCCTCAGATAAATGAAAGAGTTTGTAGATTTAGCACTATGATAATATGATAATTTGCTCGCTGTTTAGTTTACAGAGCTTCTCTTCCTCCCACTCTTTGTACAAAGTTTTCGTTCCAACGAGTTTTGTTGCTTATGTTGCTTATGATGCCTATGTTTCTGCTTCTAATGTTGCTTAATTCTAGTCTAGCTTAGAGCTAAGTTTCTTTCTCACACAATCGCACTCTCACACACGGACATGCGCTTTGGACTTTGGGCTTAAATATATACCGCTCGAATATATCTAATTGTTAATTTGTATATGTATAAGTATATGCATATAAAACCAAACTCGCACTCTCGCTCACACTGACTCGCACTGACACAAAAAAATATATACGCTCTCGCTCTCTATCGCCTAACACTTAAAGTTCTGATGTATTTCTACAACGCCTGGCCTTCACTTGTTGTCCCCGGCATTCGATGATGATGAGGAGCTGCCCACCACTCCCGATCCACCGCCGTTGGTGGTCTGCTGCTGCTGGGATTGCTGCTGCTGTTGTTGCTGCTGCTGCGGTGGCAGAGTGTCGGAGCGGCGGTAGTAGAGCAGGTAAGGCACCCGCGGCGTATGCGGCTGGAGTACGTGCTTCTCGCTGACCGGCTTCACCGAGCTGTCGTCGTAGCGCAGCCAGCTGCTGTAGCCCGTGTGGAACACGTCCGTGATGTAGTGCCCTTTGGAGGCCTCCTTGCCGTCGTGGTAGACAACCGCGAACAGGCGATAGGCGCGCTGCTTCTGTGAGGTCTTCTTTGAGCCGAGGATTTCTATAATACATTGAAAATAATATTATAAATATAAATGGAGGATAGGGAATATTTCATTGCAACTTACTGGCATCAATCTTCAGTTCCACGGGGAACTCCACCTTCTTCAAGATTTTTGTGCAACCATCGGAGCGGTAGTCAAAATACTTTAAATGCAATATCAGGACGACGGGCAGCTTCTCCAGTGTCATCTGCTGCCAGGCCACCACCTCCTGCTTGGTCTTGCTGCCGGTCACGCCCTCCAGTTGATCGCGACCCACCAGGATCTCTAGCGCCTCCTTCACCGAAGCAGCTTTCTAAAAGGAACAAAAGTTAAAACATTAAATTAAACATATTTTAAATCAATATATCTAACTAAGCTATTCCATATATTCATTTGTTTGTGCCCACTGTTGTAAAGAGAACCTATTAAATAGAAAAGTCTCTAATAAAAAGCGGAGCACGTGCACCAACCCCAACGTCAGTAGTGACTGTAGCCAGAACGGAGACAATCACCAAACGCAGACGGGGCTGGTGGCATTTCATCTTCCACGAACGTAACACAGACGCCGGCTGGTTAATGCTGCCGAAGTGTCTGTTGACTTGTCTGTGGTCGACCTTTCAATGATTTAGTACCAAGAAAAGTTACGACTAAGGCATTTTTTAAACTATGTATAGTAAGTGTTCAATAACAAAATAGCATTTTATGACTTTAAACAGGCCTTAGTTGTTATAGTCAGTATATAATAGAATATTCTGAATTTTAAAAAGCTCTCTTCGATGTTTTATACTAATGACTTTTATAAAGCTCAAATAGATATTACATTAAGGTTATTTTCAATAAAATCTGTGATCATAGTTATTTAAAAAAGTATATAGTTTAAGTCATACATCTTCCTTGTCAGAAATAATATTCAGAATTTCAGAAAACTTTATGTTTATGTTTACTTTGACTTTTATAGAACAAATTATCTTCTTTGATATGTAAACTGTTAGTTATTCAACTAAGATTCTGATTAATAAAATCTGTTACAATGGTTATTCAAACAAGTAAATCATTAAAGGTATATCTTCCTTATCATAACTAATATTCTGAATTTCAGGAAACTCACTTCGATGTTCAGTTGAAGCGTAAAGAAAGGCTGAATCACATCCGTGGAGTGTTCTCCCTCGCGTTGCAGCCGAGAACGCAGTTCTCCCCGGAATATATCGCTCACGGGAGTGCGTCCAAAGTCGGTTTGCCGGGTGACACTGCCCTTGTTACGATTGTTGCAAATCATCTGGTTGGAAGAGGTATTGGATTAGTTTAAATTAAATCATAAGTACACCATTCGCTTACCTGCCAGACATCGCCGCCATCCTCTGGCTCCGGCGGTTCCTGGCCATTTTGCTGGGATGTGGGTTTGTCAATCAGTTTAATCACCTGCAAGTAAAAACAGTCACTTAACTTTCAAATGTAATATTATTAAGTACTAGCCTCTAGCATCTCATCGTTGAGCTTGTTGAGCACATATCCCAGGAATTCCTCGGCATCCTCCTGGCGACCTTCGACATGCTCCTCGCGACTGTCGTTCCACAGCTTGTAGATCTCTGTGGGCTCAAAGGCCATGTCGCACTGCAGATCGGATCCCACAAACTCATCCTTGCCCTTGCTTTGGGGTCCCTTGTTGAGGTTGTTCAGACGCAGCCGCAGTCCGCTGGGCAGCGATGAAAAGTTGGTCATAAAAGACATCCTAAAGGGGGTAAAAAATAAGGAATTTTGAATAAGAAAATTGATCATAACCCTTTTTTCAGGCATATAAAACTCTAAAATAACCTTAAAAAATGTTAAATTTTAATAATAACTTGTTTGTGCCTGCTTTGGCTAAGGAAAACCATTAAAAGAGAGATCCTCTGCCTAAAAGTAGAACACTTTCACCAACCCCAACACTCAGCAGCTTCCGCCAGAACGGAGGAAGCCAAGGAATGCAGGCGGAGCTGGTGGCATTTCATCTTCCACGAACGTAACACAGACGACGGCTGTCAATTGGTGCCGAAGTGTCTGTTGACTTGCCTGTGGCTTGGGTTTCTTTAGTTACACAGGAAAACAAAGTGAGACTTGTAAGAGACAACAAATTGCCTATATTTTATCTTAACGAAAGCAAAGTGCCTACTCTCTACGCTTGCTAAATATAAATTTTTAAATATACACTTTTAAAAGCCTGTTGAACACATCAAAACTATTGGAAATTAAGGTACACACGTCTACCTAAACACCTATAATATTTGTTGTACGTTAAATATGATATTAAATTAAATGCAAATCCAAGAAATTTTTTCTTACGAAATGGTTACCTCGAAGATATCTTAAACCAAAACTAACTTACTAAATACTATGTTTTTAAAACGCTATATTTGTGTTACAACGAGTTAGAAACGAAAATTTAGTAAATATAATTAGATAAATCTCTATAAACATAACTTATTGCTCATAGGGATGCATCAAAAACACTATCACAGTAAGTATGCCCTATTATAGTAAGTATGAAGTTAGATTGCTATCCCTAGCTTACAGTAAGAATTGAATTAAAGTTTATAACATGAACAGAACAAACATATATAGTCAGTACTACAATTGATCATCCATGAGGTACTTACATGGCATTCACAGTGGGCGTTTTGACCTCGCTCAAGACAGCGGCCTGTTTGGGAATGGAGCGCAGCAGGTTGTAGAACGGGGAGCAGCCGAGCAGGGCCTGCAGGATGGAGTTGATGTAGCAGTAGTTGGACCTGTTGGTCAGTCCCCGCGGACGCAGACTGATCGGCACCAAGTTGGTCTTATGGCGCGTCAGATACTCGGCGTACTTGTTGGTCCACTCGTCCAGGTGCTGTTGCACCGGTCTCTGGGGTTCCGGCTTCAAAGGTTTAACAGAAGCGGAGGCGGGACTGGGCGCCGGAACAGCCTGAGCAGAGGCCGCCGAATAGGAGAGTGCTCCGGGGGTGAACAGCGGAGTGGTTGGCGCCGGCACAGGAGCCGGCAACTGCGATTGCTGGTGAGCCGTGGGCAGAGGTGGCAAACTCTGCGGCGGCGGCGGTGCCAACTGAAGAACTGGAGCAGCAGCTGCCACTTGGACTGGCTGCGGTGGAGCCAATTGGAGCACTGGATGTGGTTGCTGTTGCTGCTGCTGCTGCAGTGGCTTGCTGGCCTCGTAGGGCGCCACCTTGGCCACGGGCTTGTTGCTGGCAAAGAGACTGGCCCACGAAAGCTGGGCACTGTCGCTGCTGCTCTGCGATGCTGGTGGTGCAGGTGGGGCCAGATTCAGCGGTGGTTGCGGGTTGGCTGACGAACTGGAGGCCACCACGGAGCTCAGGGCCACGGTTTCATAGCTCTGATGCTTCTTGGTGGCATAGCTGCTGTAAGATTTGGTTGGTGGTGGTGCTGCTGTTGCTGCTGTGGGCACATGTTGCTGCTGTGGTGCAGGCTGATGTTGTTGCCGCTGTGGTACAGCTAGTGGTGCACTTATGTTGCTAGTCTCCTGTTGGAATTGATTTGGGGCAGCCGTAATGCTGGCCGTTGAGGTAGTTGCTGTTGTGATTGCCACAGGCGTTGCAGTTGCAGCGGCGGTTGTTGTTGCCGATGGTGCGGCTGCTGCTCCCTGTTGGCTGTTCTTACGCTCCAGCGTGGGAGCTGTACTCGCCACCGGCGATGAGGGCACCTTCATGGTGCCATAGGTGCGCACCTGCGGCTGATTGTTGCTGCTGTTCGAACTGGTGCTGCTATTATTGCTGCTGCTGCCACCACTGTTGTTGTTGTTGTTGTAGTTGTTCTGATTCTGGTAGTGTTGTTGCTGCTGCTGGTAGTGCTGCTGGTTGGTGAACGTCTTTGTGGTGTGACTGTAGTTGGATTTGCCCACTGTGCCACTGGCAGCAACACTCACTCCTGCCGATCCGTTGTTCACATTGTTGGGCGAAGCGGTGACCGAAACCGATTGTGTGGACTTCTTGTGCTGAGCAGAATTGGTCCAGGACATGGTCTTGGTGGTCTGGATGCCCGTATCGCTGCTGCCGTGCTGGTGATGATGGTGACTGTACTCCGAGGAGTACTTGCGACGCACCTGTTGCTGCTGTGATTGATTGTATTGCTGCGGTGGCTTGCGCTGAGGCTGCGGCTGTTGTTGTTGTTGTTGCTGCTGCTGCTGCGGCATCTGATGTTGCTCATGGTAGCTGGTCTGCTGTTGCTGTGGTTGTTGCTGCTGTGGCACTACAACCGGCGATGTTTGCTGCTGCTGATGTTGCTGCGGTGCTGGCTGATGCTGTTGCTGCTGCTGCTGCTGCGGTGGTGGCTGTTGCAGTTGAGGTGCCACTGTAGCTACTACAAGGTTTGGCACTTTTGTTGGCGGTTTTTCGATTTGAAGCGGCTGTAATTGTTGATGTTGCTGCTGTTGCTGATGATGTTGCTGGTGTAACTCCTGCTGCTGCTGTTGTTGTAGCTGCTGTTGATGCAGTTCTTGCTGTTGCTGTTGCTGCTGCTGCAATTGCTCCTGTTGTTGCTGATGGAACTCCAATTCAATTTGCTGCTGCTTCTCGTTGGCCAACTTTTCATCCAAGGCCACCACCTCGTTGTTGTTGTTTATCAAACTCTTTTCAACTGCAAAACGAAACCAAGAAGGTAAATTAAAATCAATAAAAACTTTTACTTTGGCCCTAAATGAGCATTTTCCAGCAGTTGCTTTTGAAATATGAGAAGAAATTCAATTGCCGCATGCAAACTAATTTACAAAATCATCATAATTGATGCCAATTGATGCTAAATGCTGATAACTTCAACGAGATCTGAGGGAATGTTGCTGGATGGCAATGAGTGCGGAACGAAAAGGGAATTTTTGGGAGCCATAAGCAATTAATGCTTAATTAAACTCTTAATTGATGTGTTATTTTTGTAAGAACTGGGAAAATTACTACAAACAATATCCACAGTAAACATGGATAAACTCGGCTAATCTTGGCAAGGCAGATTCAAAAAGAGAGCATACCCCCTTTTTCGATCGCATGTAAAGGGGGTAATACATATATAGTAGATAGATAGTCGAATAACTGCCCAGGCATTGTTCTCATGTCCGCTTTTCTGCTTTATTTGTGCTGATAAGCAGCGGGCCATCGATTGCAGCTATCAGTGCAAATAGAAAACATAACTAATCCATGTCAAACTGAAGTAGGGGACAAAAAAAACAAAATACCCGAGAGCAATTGAGAGTAGACCTCATTCGACGGCCATTCGATGGGACAAATTGTTATTAAATCACTACTCGATTGGCCTGTTGCTAGGTGTTTGAACTAAGCACTCGACCCTGATATGGGGCACAAGATAAACGGCCATTCCCGATTCGATAAGGGCCGCAATGTGGAGTAGAAACAAGGTTAAGCCAACAAAGAGAGGATTGAGAGTCAATATCCATGTGATCTCCCATCCCAGATTCAATTCAAACAGATCGCGCCTAGCTTAAACAACAAGGAAAACAATGGACCCTGGGTTGGGATTATTATTGCCATTATATATACACTAAAAATTGCTTTCTTTGAAATTGTTTACAAATTACAACATTATTTTATTGTACTTTACTTTTCGTGAGACAAGAATTTGCACTTTTTTTATGAAAACAATAATGAAATATCGTTATCTAGGGTAGGCTAAGTACTGGAAATGCCAATATTATTTTGAAACATGTTTAGGAAGCTATGTTATAAGCTAAAATATTGCATATTACAGTACATAACGGATAAAATTGTAATAATTGCAATGTTTAAGCTGCATAACGAATAAATTTGTTTTAAAAAGCATTTAAGCTTGCTTGATGTTCTCTAAATATTGAACTCTGCAATTAAGTGTGCTTTACGACACAAAAACATTTACGAAAATGTTAAATTAATAAGAGAGTTGCAACATATTTCTTTTGCCACGCCTATTTAAAGTATTTTATATTTTATGTTTAGTTTTATAATATCTGATAAATTTGACCCTAAAGAGTAACCGGAAATACATCTAAACCATTAAAAATGTAACCTCCATCAATGGCTTACATACCTTTCCGGCTTTCCTTTCTTAAATACAAATTCCCTTCACGAATTTTCCTAAAAACTGGGAATTTTTCCTCGATCCAATCTCCACAGCTCCCAGACAACTTTCCCAGGGCAGTCTGTACTTGTTGTTATCATTATTATTTATATCTATTCGGCATTTGAAACGTGCCAAAACAGGAGGCATATCGAATATATATTTAAACAACTTCTTTTGATGACCCCCACACACAAGGGTTTTATGTTTGGCGGGGAATTAGCTGGGAGGCACTAACTAAGTGCTGTTGAAGCACTTGATTTGGCCATTGGTAGGCGGTGCTAAACGCCCATTTATCGGGTGAATTTCCACCCCGCGAGGCCCCCGATTTGAAAGCATCATATGACAATGACATCCCCTCAATTTTTCCCTCGCTCCGGAATTTTGGAGTGTGCTAATTAATTTCAATTAGCGACTAACAAGCCGAGAGAGCTAAGTGTGCGCGCAATGTTATTCAAGAAATATAGGTGAAATCGAGCAAATCGAGTGCAAATATTGTATGGAAATGTTGCTAAGATTAATGCATTTAAATAGTTACAAATGTATATAGAAGGGGGGCAAATCTGTGCCAGGGTGTCAGTTTGGGTGCAATAACAACAGCTTTTCGAACGTGTTGCCATAACGATTCAACAGAGCGGGACGCCAAGAGTTGGGATTGTGGGAAAGCGAGCGAGAGGGAGAGAGAGAGATCGGCACTGTCACAAGGTTGGATGGATAATTACAGACCTGAGTGCACAGGTAAATTGCAATAAGTTGACTGCAGCAACAAAAGCAAACAAGGAAATTGTCAGGCACGACACAGCAACAACAACAACAACAACGACAACAACAACAACAATATCAAAGAGAAACCGAAACAGAAACGCAGTGAGACTGTACTTAATTTCCATTTGTTATACCATGTCCCATGTGATAAATGAAAAATCAACGGGGTCGGGGTCGAGGGGTGGTCCAAAACAATGTCAATTCATTAGAATAATCCCCCACCCCATTCCCCATTTTCCCCTTTCGAAAAAAAAACCGACTCGTCTTGAAAAATTCCGCTTTCGGTTTCATCTGTATAACAGTTTGCCCGCCAAGCTTCATTAATTCAAATGAATTTGTTTTCCAGTCTCAAATTGCACTTCATTAGGCCGTAACCATAACTTTTAGGAGATATTAAATTAGATTTTGTAATTGTTTTCCCTTTTCTTAAATTGAAAACAAACATCCAATGAAAATGGGTCAAGTTTTGGTTCATTTACGGGCATTCCTAGAGCCATTCCCCCCCATCTTCCACTATTCATTTGTTGCTGTTATTGAACGCGCGATTTTATTCAATTTTTTATTAGCTAGCAACAGAAATTGGGGGAACAGGGAGGACCGAGACCCGGTCTATGAGTAATTTACGCTTATTGAGCTTCGATTCGATTCGATCCGAGAGAGCTACAAATTGTAAACACGATATGGGCGCTTTTTAATTGAGAGAATCAACAACAAGCAAAGAAATAGAAGACTTCCCTCCCAGCGCTTCAACAATTTTAAATATAGTAAAACAGACCACAAATCAATTAACAAGATATAAAATATTTGATGAATACGAAAAATAAATAAAATGCAACCTTCTAAAGATTTTAAAAGAAAATAAACCATAATCCAGTGGCCTAAGTTTATATTAAAAGCATTAACCATACAAAAACAATCATTAATTGTTGAAAAGAAGTAAAATTAAAACTCCAAGTAAGGGCAAAAGCAAAATTCAATTCAAATGTTATGGGCCTAAGAAAATGTATCAATTAAATAAATTACCAAAAAAAAAAACAATTTGAATTAAAAATTCCATAAAAAGATCAAATAATAATCAAAAAGCATTCCAGTTTTCTTTGATTAATAACAAAAGAGAACTGGCCACAAAAGAAATAAAATAATAATAGTCAGCATATAAGTGTATCTTGTAATATAATTCTATGGCTACGCCCCTAGCACAAGAAATTATTCATTTTGTTGATTAGTTGTTAATCCTCAACTGAGTCACAAACAAAAATAAACGCAAACCAAAGTGCGGGGTGGTTAAAGTTTATTTTGGAGAACAAAGAAATCAGTATAAAGAATACTGCAATGTATGCATTTATGGCACATATAGATAGCGTGGAATTGTCTTTTATATACTTTAGTTATACAAACTTTGCACTTCTTTGTAGAATCATTGATTTATATGCACAGTAAATTATATAGTGCGACACTGAAGAGTTTATTAGACACAAATAATATTAAAAAAAAAGTAGGTCAGTTTAAATAAAACAAAGAATGACGTATCAGCCTAATTAGACTTCAAAAAAAAGATATTCAGGGTAGAAAATTTATATTTTCAGTTCCTTAAAAGCAATTGCATGTAAATGGAGAAAAATCCGGGATTGGCAGGATGAGGTGCAAAGGAGCGTTATTCATTTTACGACCCACAAGGCGTATGCGTAACGTGAGTCACACACACATTCCCTTCATTCAACATTGATTGAACTGACCCGTATGCGATTTAACGAGTGGGTTTCTCATCGTGAAGCTTGTTCCCAGCGCTTTAATTGTCGCTGCCCCATTGAAATTGATAAGTAATCTGCTCAAGCGTTGGATCATTGAATGGGGTAAAACAAGGGGAATTGCGGGATGCAAAGCCATATACAAAACAAAGAAGAATGGGCACAGTTTGCACCGCCTGGCAACAGGGCCAAAAACGAATTGTAGCAGCAATTCAATTGAATTCATTTGTGTCAATTTACAATAAATAATACCCAAAGCAGAGAAGACACAAGCAGCGAGCAAATGGGGGCGGGGAGAAGCTAAAAACAATAAGTGAAATTGAGTGCGAACGAAAATTGCATAATTCTATGAGCCACGCGACCTTCGTCGCAGAAGAAAAACAAACAAACTATAAAGTTTTCAGTGCGGATAGAGGGGTTAAGAAGGTACCGCCACCTTATCGCCGAATTATTTACGAGTGGGCGGCTGTTGACGGTTTATTTCCAAGTGGCTTTAAAGCATCAACTGATAAACATCGATGGTGCTACGAAAAACGCAAAGAAGTTAAGGTGAAGTGACAGCCGAGGCTTTCAAGGACACACGTTGAAATGTATCCTTTTGCCCACTTCCTATACTCGCATACCCCCCACTGCCTACATTAACATATAAATGCGTGAAACAGATTAAAAAGGACGAGAGCTCGCTTCAGTGGAACATGTGGATACAGTCGAACTTCTTTAAATCATTGCTGATATTAACAAAAATTAAATAAAATTAAAAGGAATAAAGATAAGATAAAAGTTTATTGTTTTACTCGGAATCTGAAAACATATTTTTTGAATTGATTTTTAAGCAAAACTAAAGTTTCATGAAATTGCATTTGAACATGAAAAGCCTTCTTTAAAGCATTTTTTTAATGCCAGACTGATTCTCGACCAAGTTCGACTGTAGATGCCAAATACGCGATGTATCTGACAGATACAGAGGCCAGGCTCATCGGAAAATACAGGCGATGCATACCAAGCCACGCAACAAGTTGAGCG